TTTGTGGTTCCAAATATTAATATGAAAGTTCAACATTACACTGATCTAATAATGTGGACTGAAAGTAGAACCACTTACAAAAAATATAAGCAATGAACAGTTGGTGTCTTTCATTAATCAAGATGATATGCCAATTTTCAAGCTCAGCATGCCGTGTCACACACAAGCAGTCGAAAGACAAGTTAAAATAGTAACAGAAGCTTCAGCAGCTGTTTGTGGCTGTCACAGAAGAAAGAGATTCATTAAAGCAAACTTTAATCTCACAAAATCATGAAAAAAGGATTTTGGCATAATGATAGATAAGTCACTCATGCCATTGAAGCAATATTCTCTTAGTAGTAGTATATCTAAGAATCTTAGGGTGTATTTGTACTTAAAAAGATATTAATTACAAGTCAAAAGAGGTAATTCTCTCTACATACAATTCACGAATTAGCCCCCGCTTGAAATACTGTGTGGTTTTAGTCTCATTATATAGGAAAGGATAGTAACAGAGGAGGGTTACTAGGATGATTTCATAGATGGGAGGGTTATCTTATAGATTTCTTAACTATTTTCCTTTGTGCTATATTTTAAAGATAATAGAAAATGAGCATAAGATATGTAAAACACAAGCTAGGCACCAGTTAAGACAGTGTAAGCTGTGGTAAACAGTCTTATAATGTAACCCAAGCAACAGTAGGTAACAATCAAAAAAAAGGAAAGGAAGACTACCTGTAGAAACTGCATGAATGGTACCTAGCCAGGGAAAGATGGTAGTATGTGGTGATACTCAACAAAGCATGTGTGTACCTTTATAACTGTAACAATATCATATGCCATTTCCTACCTATCAAATGGTGTAAAATTTCCACAAGTGGTCAATGTTGAACTTTGTGCCAGGGGCAAGTTAAAGATTGAGAGAGTGGATACATAGGTCATGGTGAACTCTGCTTACTAACAGACAATGCACTGGACTCTGTTATACACAATGGTTTCAAATTTACCTGAAAGGGTTTGAAGGCATTTGTGATATGGGTATCGGTTTTAGCCTTAATACAAATAAGATTTATTTGACCAAGCCTATCATTTGTTTTAATGTTACACTTGACTATTTTGTCTCATTGTTTGTAAGACTAACAGTTAACATTAGTTCAGTATTGTACACATACACATTCAACCATTACATACTTTGATTTCAAGCAACTAAAGAATGAACTGAGCAATTGATTTATGAAATGACTCAAATGAGTTGAAAGTTGAAGGAACAAATGGTCCATTGTCCATAGGTTATTTTAATGTTTGAACTTGAATTATCTGTATTCAATTGCATACACTTTTCTTATTTCTTAGTTATTTTCCCTTTAATATTGTAGTTTGTACTCACATTTGCTACTGTTAGTGTTAATGTTTATATGTTATGGTTGACATATGCCAAGGTTTACAATTTCAATCAGTAAGTATGAATCTCAAAGTTAAAAGTTGGAGAACACAGCATTGCTACAGTATTAGTAATAGTAATACTAGTTACTACTATTACTATTATATATACTGTAGACAATAGTGTAGCGTAGAGATTGGGTGTAGTCTGTAATTTGTAAAATACAGTGTCAATGTCTAATATTATTTATTATCATTAACATACGTCACTACTGAATTATTGTTTCACTAACTTACAGTTACATTATAATAGTTAGTACTATATTACTATTAATATTACTACTAATAATAATAGTAATATACCGTTACTATTAGTACAGCTTAGTCAGTAGTTTACGGTAATACACAGACATACCTCGTCCTTGCTTAATGTTTGCAAGGGATGGAAAGAATAAGTTTTTCACATTTCTTACGCTAGAAAATCCTGATAGCATAGCATTTCGAAACATTTTCTTTTGAAACCACTTTAGCAATATTTATTTGTTAATATAGACTAATTATTATCTCACTCAACGTAGACAATAGTGTCACTACGGATTTAGGTGTCCTACCAGATTATCAATGGACTTTTATTTCAACAGAGGTCTAACGTTACCCCAAAATTCTCTTAAAATACGTATCGTTTACACTAATAGCAGTATTTAAGATATATATAGTAAACGAAAAGCACCCACAATAAAAATTCAACCGATTGTTATTGAAGAGAAATACTGTAATCAACGTTTACGTTTGTTTGTTTAAAAAACTTTTTTAGAAAAATTAAAAGATGGCTTTTGAAGGTAAGCATTGTAAACATTGAAATAGGCTTGTTTGTTTGTAATTAAGCACAAAGCTACACAATGGGCTATCTGTGCTTTGCTCATCACGGGTATCGAAACCCAGATTCTAGCGTTGTAAGTCCGCAGACGTATCGCTGTGCCACTGGGGGGCTTCATATAGGAACTGTGAATTATAGTATAATCACCCATCAGCACTTCTATAATTAATGCTTTGATTGTTCTTTTTCTTTTTATCAAAGTCACATTGGTTTACCTGCTGTGTCCATCGTGGGGAATAGAACCCCAGATTTTTACGTTATAAATCCGTGAACTTGCCGTTGACACACTGGGGACTTAATATATAAAGATGTTTTTACTGTTGATGTTTTTTTGGCCCGGGCCTCAAGTTCAAAGTGGGCCTCAAATTTAGACTCTTGTTTTTGCAATTGTTAAGTTTCGCGACTTTTTTTATGTGCCTCTCAATCAGACCAAAATGTGATACATACTCTCAGCTTAAAGCTGAAAATTATATATACAGGTTAAATATTGAGATCATGTTTTTTCTTTTCTTTTGGGCTAACGATTGCCTTATCTTGTTTTCACGTGTCATCATTTTTTTTATTATAGCCAGGGACCTGAAATGATAGAAGTGGCCTGAGCCTCTCTTCAGCTCTAAGAGGGCCTGACTGCATGTTAGTAATTACTCTGTTGTTGCTATAGGCTTAAATTGATTCTAGAAATAAATTTTAATATCACAAAAAACTAAAATTTCTAAGTGTTTGTTTGTTCCTACAGAGAACCCTACTAATATTAAAGAAATATTTTACATTAAATCTATTAATATGTCATTTGCAAGTTTTACTTTTACCGACTCTTTATATTGTGATATTTCCTTTTGCATTATGGATACTTGCTTCGAATATCTCAGCAAACCAATATGTGACAGTGGAATTAGTACTAATGTTATAAAGTATTAACTCAATTTAAATAATTATATAAAGTGCTGAGTACGTCACATCAAAACGAATTAGTAGCCTCACCACATCGTTACAGCCCATGTCATTAAGTCCAACCTTGCTTTATCTAATGACCGTGCATCTTGACAATATTCTTGCAGCGTAGTGTCCACTGCAAACGGTTCATCGTGCGGTTGACAAGTCCAGAACACACTACTCCTCTTTTATAATCTATCAAGTGTACGAAGACAATGGCTTCCCAGCACCCATTTAAATAGTTCAATCACACAGAAATCCGTAGGCGGTGCATCCAGTGACTTGACCAGTGTATCTTCATATCAAAGTGCATGAATACAAATTTTATTCTCCAGCTTGAGCTATGCGATAAATAAACGGTAGTCAGGACTGGATATTAAGTATTATCTTGGTGATCCCGTCCTCTGTTGGCCTCGTTTCTGTACAAGGTCAATGTTGGTTTATGGTTCAAAGGGTCTAGAACATTGGTTTGATAATAAGGAGAGCGAATCCCAACCTCTGTGTTCACTGGAGTACGAACTGTTGCAGGCCTCTTTCTTGATGGTTCTGTTCCCCAAGTTGATCCATATTACTTTGTTTTCCAATGCCATTAAGTACAAGGGATATCCTGTCTTGGAAACTATAAATCTCCAATCTGAACACGTTTTTATGATCAGAGTGTATGAGTATTTTAACGTTTGAAAAGGCTGTTTCCAAAAGCAATCAATTTTCGGTGGCATCGTGTCTACGTAACGCCAAAAAATGTCAACCACAGTTTTGATTAATTCCATTCCACCGAGCCATAATATCAGCTGTGGTTGTCTTGTGACTTGCTGATTTGCATATTCTGTTAATATGATATACTTAATTCTCTGTGTGAAACATTATCACAAGTTTCTCCCAGTGGCTCAGCGGGAGGTCTGAAGGCTTATAACGCTTAAAATTGAATTTTGATACCCATGGTGGGCATAGAACAGTTAGCTTATTGTATAGATCTATGTTTAACAACAAAACAAATAAATTATCCCAAGTGCCTGTAATATAAGAATGCGCAATAAGTCTAATTTGGGTGCATATAAATTTTTAAAGTGAACTGACTGTATTATAATTAATTGTTATCTTTGAAATAGTGGGAGTGTTAGAAAAAGTAAACTAATGTGTAAATAAATCTTCAATCATCCTTGCTTTAAATTAATTTTTTTATATTTAAATGTTGTGAATGGTTTCGTGTAAGTATAGTGAACATCAATATTTTAGGTGCACATTCATTTTATTAATCGGTAAAGATTCTGTACATAATGTGTTTGTTGTTGTTTGCCAGTGACTTACGACCTTATATTTTTAATACATATTACAAATTATAAACCATTAAGTAATTAATGTAAAACTAAATAAAAACTTTAATATTTAGAATTGTTGTGGTGTAAAATATTTATATAAAAAAGCTTTAACATCAACACGAAAGTCTGAAAGGTTTATAATATCCTAGAGTGATAAAATGTCCACTTGGGGGCGTTTATTAAACCAATAGAGGGCTCTACCGTCTAATCTATTATTATAGAGGATAATGCACGTAATGTGGCATTTGATGTACTAGTTGCACGGAAGGTGTTAGGGAGCGAAAAAATAATTTCTGCTATTGCCACACATGGCGAAAAATCAAATTAAAAACGGTGGTAGAAATCTCGGAAAGCCAGAGTGGATAGAAATGGATGGAGCAAATGGAATTGCCGATTCTAAACAAAACACTTCAAGATTTCAAGTAGACAAAGTTGATTACGTCGGTGAAAATGATAATAATTCATATGACTATGTGAATGACGTTTTTAATGTGGAAGACAATCAAACAACTTTGAATTCTCTAACACAACGCTCTGGAAATTCAACTTATGATACACATAATGTTCGAAGTCTATGCCATTACACAAGAGAAGCTCTTCCTAATGTGGATCATTACAGAAACGTCATGTCTGTTCATGGCCATATGATTCGACCAACTTTGGATGAACTTCACCATGCTACACTTACTGGTATAGGACTCGAAAAGGTAAGTAAATTTAAACACTTATTGGATTTCTGTGTGTCTATGTACACATCTGAATTATAAATAACTTTGCGGTTATACAAATTATAATAACTGATAATATTTAGAAATAAAGTGAAATAATTGTATATTGGATACAGTAAGGTATTGTAATTTTACTTTTAGTACAGCATTTATGATGTGCGCGAGATTCCTAAAGGAAATTGGGGGAAATTTCAAGAAAGATTTTTCAGACTTTCTTCAAATATAAAAAGTAGCAATTTGAATCATGACCGAACACAAAACAGACATCAAACCACTAAATTTAAGTGATTACCTGTGTGCAGGTTTTGCTTTATGTTAGGGGTGACCAGGAAGACTCGGGTGCGCTCACGAGGTCTTTTCCACCTTAATGTAGGGTGCAATTCCGCACTGATGTAATGGGTCTCCACCTTAGCCATTTTAAAATCATAAAAAAAATATTACGACAGTGTATGTATTACAACTACCACATTACCATTTCCCTTCAAAAGCACCTTTGTTTAAAATTTTGCTCACGTTTGTTTTATACTAAAGTCCGTATATGACCACAAACAGTTCAGTATCAACACAAATGATAAGTTGCATTGAATGTAACCTAGCGCTAGAGTATATTGCCATGGAATTGAAGTTAGAGTAGACTGGATGTTAATGGGAAGAGAGGTACTTAAACTTGTATATGAAAAATTTCTCAGGATCACATAAGAGTATTTATTATGTATAATTTTTCTTAAATAATTTCTGAATTTTGAGTATTTTAAAGTTTAGTCAAGTCGAACAAGCATATTCAATTACTGATTTGATGCGAGTTTTATATATTTTAGGAATATTTTCGGGAAAGAGACCCTGGTTATTACAAAAGTTTGATTTGGTGCTATTTACCTATTATAATGTTATCCAAGAAAGTTGGAGAAGGCTTCTGTAAAGAAAGGTCTTTATGTGTTTGTTTTACTTCACCATTTATTACGCAATTCGTCTATTTAGTCAAGTAAAAGCTGAAGATTTACGTATGCAATGGAGTTGTCTGGGATACTCTTCCAAATAGCCAAATCATTTGTGAATTGAAAAAATAAAATAAAATACAGTAATTATTATCCATAAGTGGAGTGGTACTTGTATATGCAATAAACAGAATAGGTCTAAACTATCCCTTCTTGTGAGACACCATTTAAATGAAGCACTCCAAGTAGGTAGCTTACACAGTCACTTTAATTATTTATTTTCTTGTCATCAAGAATGCCTCGCGGTAGTTTCATTTGATATCGTACAGTCGTAGATCGTTATGCCAAATGGCGACGAACACTTTTTCAAACGTTTACAGAAGAAGCTACTGTACGATGATTTTTTATCAAAGGCTTTGATGATTGTTTAGAAAAAATCTTATTGTCAGCAAACGCCACGTTATTACTTAAGCAAATAATTTCAAACTTTTTCTGTTCAAACAGAAAGGTAAGTCTAAGAAAAAGCCTGGATGTAGTTTTATAGATTTTACAACTGTAAATATTTTTATACAGAAATCAAAACTGATGGCTATCAAACTCGTACATGATTTGAAAAATGTTTTGTTTTCTAGGCACGTGATCATAACTTCAATAATACAGTAAGAACGATGCAGTTGATTGTACCTCTTTTTTTTTTTTAATATTCTCCGGGATACTGTTTAAGAAATACTTATGAATTACTATTAAGGTATTTACTTGTTTCCTATTCTGAAACCTTTCTAACAACAGAGGCCAAATTTATAATTCTGTTGTTTCAGATACTTTTACCTTTTCTAATTTGTAAATTGACAAAAAGCTAATTTCGAATCTTTTATCAGAAAAGCAAGTTTTGAAACCTTTAAAATCCCTAATATCTCTTTACTGGGTTTATTTTAACATTTAGGATATATATCGACAGTACTATGAGCTGTACTTTCATGTATTTTACCCCCAAAAATGTTCGTTAATCTTGACATTTACTCTTTTTTTTTTCTCGTTAAAAAACTGGATGTGAAAAATCCCTTTTAACTTTCGGCCATTAAAACGGTTAAAGATGAAGTAATAAGGTTTTCTGCTATAATGAACTCACTACAAATATTTTTCTCATGTCCAGTATATGCCATAACTATGCTCATATAGACATAAAGCTTTTAACTTCAGATTTTATTTTCAACTAAGATTTTCAATGTTTGTCTGAATGTTAACTACGATTGTTTTGGTCCTTGTTTACTTTTCCTCAACACTATCGCCCACTCAGTATGTGTTAAAACTGAAAGCTACACTATGCTTACCTAATAGTATTTTATACGCTTATTAACATATTTTAGAATGAGCATTTTAGTAAAATTCAAGATTTTGACAGTAATACTTCTTTTCAACCAGTTTAATAGAAATCATTTATATTTCAACGCTTAAGCCATCTTGAATAACAATATTCCACAAAATACGCAGAAAAAATATTCGAAAGTATTAGTCAGTGTTGAGAGTATATGTACCCTTCCCTTGTGTAACGATATATATATTTTTCTCTTCTTTCACACTATCAACTGAGATTCGTAACAGGGGTACCGAGATAAATGCTGCATCATTCAATCTAAAGCAGAAAAAAAAACAGTATAATCTTTTTTTTTTCCTAATCATTTGCCACTTTTATTAGTTTCATACTCAATAAAACCAAAATCATGGCTATGTTACTAATGACTCTCTTAATGTAGCCAAATGCCTCGTCATCTAATTAGTGACGCGCATGAAAGGATTAACGAGATTCCCACTGTCCTTATCTACTATCTAGCGAAACCACAGCCAAAGTAACTATGACTCTCTTAAGGTAGCCAAATGCCTCGTCATCTAGTTAGTGACGCGCATGAATGGATTAACGAGATTCCCACTGTCCCTATCTACTACCTAGCGAAACTAGACGTAAAACTTTTAACTTCAGATTTTACTTTCAACTAAGATTTTCATTGTTTGTCTGAACGTTAACTACGATTGTTTTGGTCCTTATTTTCTTTTCCTCAATACTATCGCTGTGGTTCAAATTAGATGTGCGTGATGTTCAAATATAAAGTCTATAGTTTCTTACGGATTAGGAACTCAAATTACCGATATTAACAAGCTAGAAAATAAAATACGAAGCTCCTATCTTTTCTTTTTGCTTTTTTTATACCTATCACCCCACTGCTCCTTCTAAGCGTATACCTAGTTCTTAAAACCCATTTCCTTTCGTGACTATACTAGCCGAACAGATGATTTCGGTTATTTAGCGAAAGGCCTCGTCGGCATTGGGTATTGCGGATGTAATGTGGTTGACATTGCTCTTCTACGTTTTTAGAATTTCTGCTGTGGTTGCTTGACCTGTTCCTGAAACAATAATACTAGCTTGCTGCTTCTCTAGTTAATCTGAACGATTGTGTTTAATTTCGCGCATAGTTATAGTGCTAGTCGTCCATAATTTTGAAGTGATAGATTGAAGAGAAAGCTCACCCAAATGTGATTATTTTTTTCTAATTTGGCCTTAATGGGGCGCGAACCGTCGGATCCACAATCCAATACACTAATCATAAAGCTGCAGTCGGCCTTTTTCTGAATGATAATGTTTGATATATTATTACATATTGTTACGACAGCGGAAGTCACGTGACGCTGGTAACACGTAATGAGATTTTCGAAGGATCTTGACTTTTCCTGGCAACTCGTCTTTTCTAGGCGCCCTTATTTATTGTATATAAGCCCGGCAAATAAAGCGGAGATAGGAAGATAGAGAGAGATAACTGAGTCAAGTGAGCGGTAGTGACCGTAAATAAAGTGCGTGAATCGTTGTGAATTATAGAGTGTGTTTAAGTTAAAGTGACTGTGGAAATTCTGTGTACTGAAAAGTTGTATTGAGAAAGAATAAACTAGTTTTAATTAAGTATGGACTTGTATTGCTGAAGTTTCTCGGAAAGAATTTCTATGGGAAATTAACAAACGATCAGAGACGTAACAATATTCTTCTTTGCTTTCATTGACACTTAACATAAGCATACCTTTATAAGGCGTGTTCATGTACAAATATAGACAATTCTGTGGAATTTAACATAAGTTTATGTTTCAAAAATGTCAGCTTCTGTGATTTTATAATAGAATACTACACATACTATTCCAGCAGAATCTGCCACAAGCATGGTTATTGATTTACTAAAATTATTCTATCAATGCTGGTGGAGGGTAGGTAAGTATAAGTAGCTATGAACAATTTTTTTCCTAGTTAAGATATTAGATAATTATGAAACCCCACGTTTCGATATTTTTGTCATAAATACATGTATTTAGGGTTTAAGTTAATCATGTTCTTTCATCAAATGGTCATTCTAATTAATCTTATGATACTTCGCTTCATCGCACAGGCATTATAACCGAATTCAACAAAACTTTTGTTTTTCTTGTGAAATATTATGAAATGTGTAAGGTATAGCAACATGGTTTAGTTCAATGGTCGAAATTATTAGGATATTCTGAATATTAATATATTACTTCCAGAGTTTCTTAGAAATTTCCTATTAGATTTATTGGAAAATCGAATGATCCCAGAGAAATCTAGTAGATCTCTAAATAATTTTGTCCCATATATATTTTCAAACTGCTTTGTATCTTATCTTCTGCTCACCAATAACTTAATCTTAAACAAACATACAAGTATTACTGTATAAAAAATATAAAACTGTTAAATAGAGAATTTGGTTTAAAACAATTTTTAAAAATTGTCTTTATTGTATTTTCTACAACAAGTATAATATAAGCAAAAAACTTAAATCATATTAAAACATTTTTTGTTTTGTAATGTCTATTGTCATTCCAGTTAACAAATCCTTATTTTCAGTGAGCCTAAACGAGAAATGCTATTATGCAACTCAAACTAATTATTTTTTAAATAACACCACCATTAGTTTAAAAAATAGCATTGAATACTTCCTTATTACTTCTGTTTACGGGTATAATATGTATATCCGGTGAAGTAAATTTAAA